GGCGTTCTAACGAATTAAAACTCAAACATGCAAACAAAGCTACAAGCAGCTCTGCAGAGACTGGTGCACATGACCTGATGCATGTATGTGCACTCACATTCGCCCCTCAGCCGAGGCTTCCAGGTATCCCACACATCAAAGTGCAAGGAGGGCGGGTGGAAAGGCAAGGCGGTAGAGCGGAGCCGTGTCACACGCCAACGCGACTAGACGCACCCACGGCAGCCCTCCTAAACCAGACCCTGAGCAACACTGCTCGCACAGGTCTTCGTTTTCAAGCCTGGAGTTGAAGCTTCCGAAGAAGCAGTCTCTGCAGTCTCGCTGCTGAAAAGCTCTAAGCTACACTACGGCTCACGCTATGTACAGTTGGGTCCTAAGCTACCCTATAATACCCTACACAGCGGAGCCGCGCCCGATCAGGGGCCGCGAGCTGCGCTTTCGCGCGGCCGCGACCGATCAGGGTCCGCGTACTGGCTGCACGGGGAGCTGCACGGCAGTGCAGCACACAGGTGCCAGCAGGCACAACGCTCTGAGAAGGCACGGCGGGCTGACGAGCCACTCACCGCGCAGAAAACTGCCGCAGGTCCCTTCGCCAACAACACTGTGAAGCTGAAAGGAACCTTCTCGCAAATTCAATTGCCGAGCTCGAGGCTAAAAAGGGTCACTGCGCAAGCCGCGCAGGTGTCCTGCCGCTGGCATCCGCTGGCCTCGGCTCAGGCTCTTGATAAAAACAGCCGGGCTTAAACGAAGCCGCGGCGATGAACGCCCGCAGGATCTGCGCTCTGTGCTGCGCAGAATCCTGCTGCAAGCACCTTACGTACCGTTGCACTCGGCGGTGCAGAACGTGCCTTGCAAGTTCGCGTCTCGCACGGAGTTACCCGCCGCGAGTCTAACGGAAACTCCGGCGGTGGCCATGCGCAGCGCCTGCCATTGCAGCTTCGTTTTACTGCATTGGCTCGCGTCCGCAACTATAATCAGCACGCGGCTCCGCGCGCGCAGGCTCCCTCGAGCGCATCTTGGACGCCTGGAGCGTCAAACGAGTACGCTTGTCGGCGGAGCGGGCCTTCGCGATCAGCGCCAAACTACGTCGCCGCACAAGAAGACGGCGTCCCTGTAACACTGTGAGGGACCGCCTTGTCCTTCGGCGCCTTAATTCCTAGGCCCCGGCCCTCCTGGCACAGCCGCTGAGGCAGGTGCCAGAGTAAGGGTCGGCGGGGGAGCAACCGCGGAGGGCGCTCCAGTCACAGAAGGATGCCGCTATAAGGCAACTGAGCTCGCGGTTCTTGGCTGCCAACCCGCTGACGCACTCTTGCGTGCCTGCGACGGCAGCTCGACTGCGAGGATTCCTCCGCTGGGCGCGCAGAGCCGTCTGAGCAGCGGGCGGCGGCATCACAGCGCACACCCCAGCCTGGAGATAGGCGCGGCATCCGCACGCCGCCTGGAGGTTCGACAACCTGAGCCCGACGCGGTGCGTGGTGCAGCGCTTGCTGACGACCTGAAAGGTCGCGTCTCCTTCCTTATAAGCTCCAAGAGCTGGCACGGCATAGCGTCGCCAGACAAGGCATGCGCGAGCCTGTTCAAGCAGCGCACGTAACAAACCAGATCACCGCAGCGCTGAGCACAAAAGAATATAACGATGATGCTGGCTGCCGCGCCGGCGACCTGGACGGCCCGCGCGGCTTCAGCCCCCGCGCCTTCAGTCAGTCCGGCCGACTGGTGAGCAATGGCCGCGAGGGTCTCTTCAACAACCTCCATGGAGCCGCGCTGCACCGAAAGCAAGACCGGCGCAGTGACGACTGCCGCCAAGCCAGTCCAGGCACTGATGTTGCCCGTGGCAACGTGCGCGAGCCTATTCAACACCCGGCGTGCGACCGCTCAGGTGTATAGGAGTGGTCGGGGCTGCTGCGCCCGAAGGCCGCAGAGCTTTCCACGACCGCGCACCTACCAGGCCGCACAACGGCGGCAGGCGTGGCAAGGGCACGGCGGCGCGCAAGGGAAGTGCCGCGCTGAGCGGCCAGGTGGTGGGCGTACACCTCGGCAGGGAACCAAGCCCATCTGCCCTTCCTTCTGCTGCCCTTATGGCCTCCGCCCTTGTCAAACATTCCCCTTCACAGGTGCGGCCGGCGGCGCTTGCTGCTTTTTACCGCCTTCTGTCTTGCAGCGGCCTGATCGCAGGAGTTGCCGCCGTGGATCGGGCAGTCCGCGCGAGACGACTCCCGCTGCGGAGCGCCTCGTGCAGCACTTGTAGCACAAGCTGCGGACACTCACAAGTTCCATTCGCTGCAGGTCGGACATAACCAACCCGCAACTCGAAGAGAAGCCTCCAGAGCGGCCTTAGCGGCCCGCTTCTTCCCTTCTTTCCCCTCGCGACGCTGCGCGATGACGTCCACCCGCGCTGCGTGGGCCTCCTTGTGATCCTGTCGTCGTCACATCGATCAAGGACTGGCGCGTGATGCTGGCCTCGTAGTTCGCGAGCCACTCCTCCGGAGCCGTCCACGCTGGTAAAAGCAATTCAGCCCTGACTCTGGGGGTTCACTCTTTCACAGAAGTAACACGTCCAAGACCCCACCGGAAAAACTGATCCCGGTCGAAGGTCGAAGGTGATTGGATGGCTCCGCGCCGGGGCGAACCAGCCGCGCGAGCCTCAGCACGAGGTCCGGTCGGTGGCCGCGGTGGAGTCCGGTCTGCTCTGTCCGGGTGTCCGAGGGACGCGGCGCCTTGTTCCAATGGCCGCCCGACTTCTTCTCCAAGAGAGTCGACATGGGCGGCGTCGTCGGAGCACGACCCCCGAGCTCGCGGAGCTCGCGAACTCGCTCTTGCTCGTCGGGCGCGTCCATCATCTCGACGTCCGGAGAGCTAGGGGAGGCGCTGGACTCAGCCCCCTTCCCCTTTTTGGCCCTCGGAGCGCTGACAGAAGCATCAGCCGCTCCTGTCTCCTCCTCCTGTCCCAGCCTTCTCCATAGACCGAAATGTTTGGATAGCAGCACCAATCCTGACCACGGTGATGCCGAAGTCGAATTGCCACTGTGAGAGAAAGCACTCATCATGAGATCAACTCCAAGTGAGGGCAAACAACAGAGATGGGGAAGGCCTAACCGTAACCTTCCACCCCAACCAAGCACAGAGGAAAGGACAGGCCCTGAAATAAAAAGGACCTGTCGTGCATCATCAACAATCTGGGCATTCTACGTGTGAAAGGCACGCAGGAAACTTTACAGGCATCGGTAAGCCACGAGGCTCTTGCGGACGCTAGCAAGATGGTCAAGCACGTTGTCACCAGGTATGACCAGGCGAGGGACACTGAAGTGCACACAATTCCAAGCACAATGATCCCATGTAGGAGCATAGCCCTCTCTGCAGAAGGGACACCACTGCACAGCAGCTCCACTTTGATTGGCCTGGCGTCGTGCTGGGCTGACCACTGCAGCGGTAAGTACTGCACAGCCTTGGGCACAGGTGGCATTCCACAGCTGCCACGCCTGCTTGACTCGAGCTGGTTGGAACGTCGTGTTAGCCGCAGCCACAGCATCCAGTCTACCCGATGCCTTCCACGCAGCAAAGCGTTCAAATCGCCATGCTTCCCGAAGCACAACTGATGCATTGCCTAGGAACGGCCTGATGAGTCCATGAGCTGTCAGGCTGCATACGCCAGCCATTGCCAGCCCATGCTTTTAAGGCGGGCAGCAGTACCTCTCATGGCGCTGGGCTGCCAGCGCGCGGCCAAGTTGAACGAGCTTGGCCCACATGGAGATGGTCTGGTAGTCTGCCATGAATTGGAAGTCCAAGCTATGGCCCTGCAACAAAGCAATCAAGTCGGGCGAAGCTGGGGATTTGCCTCCATCATACAGAACGCCCAGGAGGCGCTGCTGGAGCTGTCTCCAAGTGCTCGCCGAGCCATGCACGAACCACGTGCCCCAAACTGCCACAGGAACGACAAGCTGTCGTAAGAACATGCACTTTGCCAGAAAAGAAACAGGCAGGCAGCCGACGCGGCCTAGGCGCTTGCGGGCCTCGCTCAGGCGATCTTGGTAAGTGGGCCTGTTTTTACCATCAATGCGGGCGCGACAATCAACTCCCAGGATGCGAAGTGTGTGCGCAACGGCAACAGCCCCAGATTGGCCGACCTCGCAGCAGAGCCCCGAGAAAGGAATTTCTGTTGCCCAACGTTCTCTTCGAGGCCAAGCCTGCCAGCCCAGCGGAAAAATCCGAGGCCGCAGCTGCAGAACGTTCAATTACGACCGCAAAGGTTCGTGCTTTAACCCTCGATGCAATCTGCACAGGGGCTGAGAGCTGACTGGAGGGGCGTGCAAAAACAGTGCTTTGTTGGAGCTTGTCTGATTGTTCGCCGCATGAGTGATTGTCTGCAAGTGATGAGAGCATCGAAGGCAGCATCTTCGGCAGTTTCCCTTTGTTTGTCAGCAGATGTTTTCTTGTTGTGTTTCGCTCCAAGACGGGGAGGGTGGGACGGTCGTGCATAATAGCTTCGAGCTCGAGGCTGGCTTGGTCGCTGAGCTTTCCGATTCTGGGTCTGAGCATGCCCCTTCACAGCCAGCATGCGAGCGAAAGCTGGAATCCCAGACACAAGAACCTTTTGCAGACCTGAAAACCCGCCTGCTGCGGCCCTGTCCGTGTTTGGCGGCCCGGGCGAAGTACAATGCCAAATGCTACGCCACGACGAACCAGGCCATCCAGCCCCGTGGAAGAGGCTAATGGCCTGGAGGGAGGCATTCGTGAAGTTGCACAAGTTAGACCAGGACCAACTGGTACCTTGCTTGCTCTGCAGAAGGTATCTAAGCGGGCCTTGCCTGCATGTCTGTTACTCGAGCCTGTTTGTGAAGTCTTAAGTTGTTGCAGCCGAATCAGCCATGTACCATTCATGTGATGTGTAAACATCTAAACTTCTGAATGCATGGATAAGCTGAAGCCCACGACGTGCTGCTATCGCTTTCTGTACCAACCTGAAGCGCTGAAGCCTTGCCCTGTACCAAGTTGTTCGACATGCTTCGGGAGATCGCCCTAAGCCAGGGTGTTCTGGTGCCAGGTGCAGAGGCGAATGCCCCGGAGGACGACACAGTTGACACGCATGCGAAGATGCAGTACCAATTCCTGGGGGTTCAATGTTTGCAAGCTTGGCCTAGCTGAATTGTTGGGAGTTGGGCGGAACCCTCGACTGACAACCTTGCTCAAAGCAGTTCTACAGAATCGTCGGTCTGCTCCACTTGACAAACGCTTCATGTCGAAGCCCTTGAACGACCCCAGACCTCTACAGTGAGGTTGTGTCCCACTTACAAAGTCTATACGACAGTGTTGCCGAGACTTTGCCTTTCGATCAGCCCGAACAAGAGCATGTCGACGACGGCTTCCATGATTACAACGTCGCTGCGACCAAAAGTGAACAGTTAAGATATTTGCCCCCGGGCAGCATGCACGAGTGCTGGCGGCAGTATCGGGCTGTATCTAATTCGACCTGCTCTTGGCAATGTTTCTCCAAAGCCTGGAAGGAAGCATTTGCATTCGGTCACAAACTCACGTTCCGCAACAAATACACGGTCGGTATTTGCACAACTTGTGTCAAGCACAAGTTGATTCATGCTTCGACACTTGGGTTGCGACGCGACGAGCAGACTCAGACAACGCCACCTTTATGATCAGCATCTGCAAGCCCAATATGATGACAGAAAAGTCTATTGGCACAATCGGAGCTGCAGTCGTTCGCATTATAACACCATCACTGTGGTGGTGGATGCCATCGACCAAGCCAAGTTCGCCGTTCCCAAGAGCCCCCTTTTCAATGATTAGTTCGTGCGACCTCGACTTCATGTATGGGGAATCCTGGTCCACGGGTGGGGTGTCTATGTAGCTGTCTCGGACGCTGACA